TTTTTTTTTTTTTTTTTTTTTTTTTTTTATAAGAATTTTATCACGAAATTATTAAATTAAACCTTAACCTTGTGAGATTTTTGTACTACTTTCTTCAATCTCGCTGGCATGTTATGCGGCAAATAGGACGAATAATTATAATATTCTGGGATCCAATCGAATCTCTGCAACAATATGCGCGTTTATTTTATAATAATAACGATTATTAAAATTCAAATCGAATGCAAAGATACCTTATTAAATTTAATAAGAACACAAGGTTTTAAAGGTTTTGTATAACCATATGGAGGTATGCTACATATTCCAAGATTGTGTATGTTAAAATAACAAGATTTTCTATGATGTCTTGATATCAAATGTTTTTTATAGCAGTCTAAATCATAGTTTGATTTATTTTTATTATATTCTAAAATAAAAAAATGCTTTAGATATTTTTTTTTTTTATCAATAATATTATTATATGATGTATATATATATATATATATGTATCGTATATTATATCATAAATATATTAGAAATACGAATTTGAATACAATTATTTTGTAAAATACCTTGTAAAAAATCATTTATAGCTTGAACGTATCTTTCCGATTTGGTATTGCCAGTTAAGTTACTCACCGAAATAATAGGCGATGCAATTGACATGCTATTTGGTTTAAAAACTATTCCTTTAGAAAAATTTTATTTAATATTTGCGTTCATATCAATTACATTATTAATAGGATTAAATTATTTTTTTCGATATATGTTATATAAAGTTATAAGAATAAGATAACAATTACTTAATTGTTGAAAATTTTTTCATAAGAATTAGCAATGAAGATTACCTGGACTGCCGAAAGTTGATCGGGTAAAACGTGAAGGTTTTCCAGATTTTGAACTAACGTATTGAAAAAATGGTTTATCCAGTTGAGAAACGTAATCTATACTGATCTTCATTTGTACCGCAAATATTGTTCCCAAAATAGTAAAAAAGCAAAAATAAAATAATCCTAGTTGACCTAAATTTCAAATATATATATATATATGTATATTTTGTATTAACACGATTGTAACGATGGAAGACCATATTTCTCTACGTAGCGTAACGTAAAGTATACGAAAAAACAGGATGCGGTTAAATTAATACAATGCATCAACCATTTCATTAATTTTCAGGGTCATTTCATTAAATTTTATCTTTTTCAAACCATGTTGAATTTTTATGATTTTAATGAGATATTTGTAGATATTATTGTACACAATTATTTAACTATTATATAGAACAGAAATGAAATAGTGAATATTAAATTTAATGTTGTCATAAATTTAATATGTGTAAGTTATTATATATTATAAGAACATTACCCCACTCTTTTGCCGTTCTGTCGAGAAATGCTTTTTTCTCTCTATCCCAAAGAAACCGCAAAAAATTTCTAAAAGGTCCTAAATCGGGTTGCGGTATTCGACTTTCATAATATGCTTCATCATGTAATATTACCATATTAAGAATTGATCTTGATATTTTCAATCCCAACTTATAAAAAAGAAATGAATAAAGGTATTCTAGTTCTT